TACTTGCGGTACCAGAAGTGATGTGGCCGGTGTCGGTGGATGTGAAGCGATCCGTGGCGTCAGCGGGTGGTGATGGTCTGCTGTGTTCCTCCAGCTCCAAACTGTGTTATCTCTGACTCCAGCATCGGCAGTTCTTACTATCTCTGAGATCTTACCACATGCATGCTTTACTATCATCTAACCAGTTGCTCATTTAGTCAGTCATACAGCACAGAAACAGACCCTTCCGCCAAACCAGTCTCTGCCAAACATAATCCCAAACTAAATTAGTCCCACCTGCCTGCCCCTGGCCCATATCCCTCCAAACCTTTCCTATTTCTATATCCATCCAAATGTTTCTTAAACCTTGTAATTGTACCCGAATCCACCACTTCATCAGGAAGTTCATTCCACACATGAACGACCCTCTGTGTAAAAAAAATTTGCCTCATGTCTTCATTAAATCTCTCTCCTCTCACTTTAAAAATGTGCCCTCTAGTCTTGAAATTCCCCACCTTAGGGAAAAGACAACAACCATCTACTCTATCTATATCTCTCATTATTTTATTAATATCCATCAGGTCATCTCTCAACCTCCTACACTTCCATGAAAAAAATCCCAGCCTAACCACCCTTTCCTCATAACTCGAACTTCCATACCCGGCAACATCCTGGTAACATCCAGCTTGATAATATCCATCCTATAAGTGAGTGACCAGAACTGGACACAGTATTCCAGAAGAGGCCTCACCAATGTCGTGCACAACCTCAACATGACATCCCAACACCTATACTCAAAGGACTGAGCTATGAAGGCAAGCATGCCAAATGCCTTTTTAGCCATCCTGTCTATATGTGGCGTAAACTTTAAAGAATTACGTCCCTACACCCTAGGTCCCTCTGTTCTACATTTCCTCAGGCCCTACCATAAATTGCATAAGCCCAACTCTTGTTTGTTGTACCAAAATGCAATACCTCACATTTATCCAGATTAAACTCCGCCATTTTTCAGCCCATTGATCCATTTGATCAAGATCCCTTTGTAATTTTAGAAAACCTTCTTCACTGTCTACAATTCCACCAATTTTGGTATCATCCGCAAACTTACTAACCATGCCTTGTTCATTCTCATCCAAAGCATTTATAAAAGTGACAAACAAAAGAGGACCCAGAACCGATCCCTGTGGAACACCGCTGGTCACAGGCCTCCAGTCCGAAAAGCAATCCCCCACCATCATTCTGTCTCTCGTCGTTAAGCCAACTATGTATCCAATTGGCAAGCTCCCCCTGAATCCCATGTGGCCCAACTTTACTAATTAGTCTTCCATGCAGAATCGTGTCAAAGGCTTTACTAAAATCCTAATAAACATCTACTGCTCTGCCATGATCAACCTATTTGGTAACTTACCCAAAAAACTCAATCAAGTCTGTGAGACACGATTTTCTTCACAGAAAACAATGCTGACTACCCCTAATCAATTTTTGCCTCTCTAAATGTCCATAAATCCTATCTTTTATAATCACCACCAACAATTTACCCACAACCGAAATCAGACTCACAGGTCTATAGTTCCCTAGTTTTTCCTTACAACCTTTCTGAAATAAAGGCACAACATTAGCCACTCTCCATTCTGCAAGGGGTCTTGTAATTCCCTCCTTTATTTCCCACAACATTCTAGGATACATTTGATATGATCCTAGAGATTTATCCACCTTTATATTCCCCAAGACCTCCCAAACTTGCTCTTCAGTAATGTGAACTGTTTTTAAAACATCAAAGTTTATTTCTCTGCATTCTCTTGACTCCATTTCTTTCTCCACAGTAAAAACTGATGTGAAATATTCATTTAGTATCTCTCCCATCTCCAGGGGTTCAACACAAAGATGACCTCCTTGATCTTTAAGAGGTCCAACCCTCTCTCTAGTTACCCTCTTGTTCTTAATGTATTTGTAGAATCTCTTCGGATCATCCTCAACCTTATCTGCCAATGCTATCTCATCTCCCCTCTCTGCATTCCTGACTTATTTCTTAAGAATGTCCCTACACTCTCTGTATTGATTAAGAGATTCAATTGAACCAAGTTGTCTATATTTAAAAAAAAGATTCTCTTTTATTCCTGACTAGAACCTCAATATCTTTATTCATCCATTCTACCTTAATCTTACCAGCCTTACCCTTCACTCTAACAGGAACAAAATGCCTCTCAACTCACATCATCACACTCTATAATGCCTCCCACTCGTCAGGTGTCCATTAGTCTAATCCAAACAACTTTTGAAAGTTCTTGTCTCATACCATTAAAATTTGCCTTACTCCAATTAGAAACTTTAACTTTTATGGAAGGCTTATCCTTTTCTCTAACCATTTTGAAATTAATAGAATTATGATTGCCAGACCTGAAGAGATCCTCCACTTTTACTTCAGTTACCCGCCCTGCGTTATTGCCCAAAAGGAGGTGTAGTTTTGCTATTTTTCTAGTAGGAGCATCCACATATTGACAAAGAAAATTTTCTTGAGCACATTTGACAAATTCTTCACCATCCAAACCTTTAATATTTTGCTAGTCCCAGTCAGTGTTTGGAAAATTAAAATCCCCCCATTATTATAACCTTATTATTCTTAACTATATCCAACATCTCCCTACATATTTCTTTCTCAATTTCTCTCTTACTATTGGGGAAGCCTATAGTATAATCCTATCAAAGCGATCTTATTTGTAATTCCCACCCATATATTTTCAGTGGACGATTTTTCAGAAATATCTTCCCTAGTTACAGCAGTAATGTATTCCTTAATCAAAAATGTCACACCCTCTCTCTTTTCTTGCCTCCTTTTCTATCATTCCTATAGTATCTAAAACTGGGAACATTGAGCTGCCAGTCTTGGCCATCCCTCAGCCAAGTTTCTGTGATAGCTATGACATCCCAATCCCATATTCTTAAACATACCCTGAGTTCATCCCCCTTACCTGTAAGACCCCTTGCATAGAAATAAATGCAATTTAGCTCTTCAGAGTTACTACATACTCTGACTCTCTCATGTCTTTCTTTTCTAACTGACATGCTCTCGTCACATTTAGCGGGTGGCATGGTGGCTCAGTGCTTAGCACTGCTGCCTCACTGGGCCAGGAACCTAGGTTCGATTTCACCCTTGGGCGACTGTCCGTGTGCAGTTTGCATATTCTCGTGTCTGCTTGGGTTTGCTCATGTTTCCTCCCACAGTCCAAAAATGTGCAGATTAGGTGGACTGGCCATGCTAAATTGCCCATATAGTGTTCAGAGATGTGTAGATTAGGTGGGTTATAGGGGGATGGGTCTGGGTGGGATGCTCTGAGGGTCGGTGTGGACTTGTTGGGCAGAAGGGATTGTCCCCACACTGCAGGGATTCTACGTCTACGTCTAGAAACTACCCCATCAATCCTTCCATTTACACTTCCACTTAGAATTCCTCCATTTGCCTTTTCTATCAGTATAAAGTCTCCCCTAAAAAAATGAGCAAATCTCCCTGCTAAGATATTGGTCCCTTTCCAGTTTGGGTCAGACCCATCGTTTTCAACAGGTCTTTTCTATCCCAAAAGACATTCTAATCGTCCAAAAACCTGAATCCCTGAACAATGTACTAGCTCTTCAGCCACTGATTTATCTTCTTTAACCTTTTGTTCCTTCCTGCATTTGAGTTTGGCATTGGGAGAAAACCAGAAATTACTACTTTCAAGGTTTTATTTTTTAATCTTCTATCTAACCTCTTAAATTCACACTGTAACGCTTTAATCTCTTGCCTAAAAATGTCACTCCTACCAACGTGTACAATAATTTCTGGCTTTTCGATCTCACCTTTAATAATATGCTTGAAACGTTTAGAAACGTCCTTAATCCTAGCACCAGGAAAGCAACAAACCACCCTAAATTCACTGCCACAGAATCACCTATTCATGCGCCTAACAGGAGAGTCCCCTATAACAATAATTCTATCAAAATCTTTTCAAATGCTGCCTAACCGTAAGAATCGTTCCAAGTGTCCAATAACTGACTGGTCATTCCATTTTCCTCAGAGAGACTATCCCCTTCAACTGTTCCAAAAACTGAATGTCTGTTTGACAAAGGAATAGCCACTGGAGACTTTTGAACTACCTTCTTACCTTTGCTGACAGTCACCCATCTATTTGACTGATCCTGCTGGGTCATAACTTTTCTAAATCTACTAGCCATCTCACTCTGGAGCTTACATATGGCCTTAACAACATTAAGCCCAAAAAAAAAGGACGTTTCATGAACAAGTTATACATAAAATAAACTACCTTTGATTACCTACAGAAAATAATGTCAAAATGGAAAAAATTAAAAATATATATCAAACATATAAAAATTAAATAAAATAAACCACTTAGCTGATTAACTGAATAAAAACGATTCCTCTTCAATAAATTCCTCAAAGCAAAGAAAAATCTTCTCCAGAGCCGACCACATGTAGTACTCTCCAGAACAAGAAAACAACGCCTTATTTCAAAAAAAAACTGTTCGGTTTTTTTCAAAAATAAACCCTTGGAATGTCAAAAATAAACACAAACTAATACAGACTTTTAAATTTCTGAATTAAGAATAAAAAAACCTCAGCCATTTACTGTAGACAATTAAAAAACTGTTTTGAAAAAAAAGTCCGTTTGAAAAAATACATTAAGGGAACATTGTTGAAAAACAAAATAGGAACAATCAAAAAAGATTGAAAATGGTTTACAAAGAAAACTAATGCATTACTAACATTTAAAAAGTCTGCCACTGTGTATAACTGCTTTAATAAATAAGTCAGTAGTTTCTACAATCATTAGAGATTTCGAATACAATTAATCCTAATTGAGATTTCTGATGGAGAGAATCACTATGAAGAATTATAAACTTACATTGGTATGTGAGATTCAAGCAGCTTATTAAAATTCGATCAATGCAGAACCATTCAATTACATTCTGTAGTCCAATATATTACTGTTTTAATAAATGTGCTACAACTTCATGTTTTAACTCACCAGCTATTGGATCCATAGCTTCCCTATTGCTTGGAGAATATGAACTTTGTGAGGATGAAAGCCCACCAGTGGAACTGCTAGTAAAGTGCATGTTTGATCTACGAGCACGCGGTCCTCCAAGGCCTCGGCCAGGATGAAACATCCTACGTACATGTCGAACACCGCTGGATTCATCATAAATAATCATTAAGGAAATATAAGCATAGTTCTGCAAGTAAAGCCTCCAATTCAAAGAATATTTAAATTCTTGATAATTTCCTTCAATTAAATACCAATTCAAGGAGACTTCTTTGGTTCCAGCTAGCAACTCCATCTTCCTCCCTGCCAACTGTATGAGGGCCGAACCAAACTGCTCGCAACTTTGGTATTACATCATTATATCTGATCCCAAGATTTGGTGCCGAAAACACATTGATGCCTTCATTAAAGGCTGCTTGCTTCAACCTCTGCAACACTGCTTAACTGTGCCATGTTTCAACCCATCTGCTGCTGGAATTCTCATTCATACCATTACACAAGAGAATTCCAACTACCAGTCAGTTTCCCATATTCCACCCTATGAAAACTTGTAATCATTAAAAATTCTGCTCTGCATTCTTAGCCCAATCATCCTGGTTCTCACTGATCCAGATTTGGATTTCATCTCCTCTAGCCCCACATCCCCATTTCTGAAGAGGAGTCACTGGACCCAAAACATAAGCTCTGATTTCTTTGCACAGATGCTGCCTCACCTGTTGAGTTTTTCCAGCAATTTCTGATTTTGTTTTGCCCAAACTGGTCTTATAGTTTCAACCGCTTGACCATCTCCAATTTTAATCATGCCATTATTAGCGGCCATGCCTTCAGCTACCCAGGCCCGAAGTCATGGAATTTAGTCCCTAAATCTTTCCATTTCTTACCCTCCTTTTATAATGATCCTTAAAACCTATCGATAAATTAAGTTTTTTCTCCAGATTGCCACAACAGCCTGTGTCAAATTTTACTTTTTCATACTCCTGTGATGTGCTTTGGGATATTTTGCTCCTTAAAACAGCTATACAGTATAAATTCTGTTTCTTCCTATTTTCTAATATACAAACACTATTGCTAGCTACTCAGTCCTCCCAATCACTGGTGGTGCCACAGTATACAAACATATGAACTAGAAGCAGATATAGACCACTGGGACCCTCAAGTCTACTCCACCATTCAATGTGATCATGGCTGAACAGATTTCTTCACATTCCCCCCTGCCCCATAACTTTTCATTCCTTGCTTATCAAGAATCTACCTACCTCTGCCTGAAACATATTCAAAAACTCTACTAACAAAAAAAAAACTCTGCTAACAAAACCTTTCAAAGGAGACAGTTCCAAAGACTGTTTTGAGATAAAAAATCCTCTATCTCTACCTTAAATAGGTGATCTAATCTTTTTTAAAACGTGACTCCTATGTCTAGATTCCCCACAAGTAGAAATTTCTATTCTACAACCACATTGCCAAGACCTTTCATGTTTTAATCAAGTTGCTTCTTTCTTCTCTAAACTCCAGTAGCTACAAGCCTGGCTTATTTAAAATGTCCATTTTTGGAGTGTGGGGGCTGATGCCAAGGATGGCATTTTTCCTCATCCACTAAGTTCCCAGGCCTCCTTATTTAACCATCTAAGCCTAAGTGGTCATGGGTCTTCCAACAAGGCTGTTCAGTAAAAATGTAAATTTTGATCTTGAACATACATGTACTGAAAATAGAGGGAGTATTAGTCAGGCAGAGAGTTACTCTCTGCAGGATTCCCAACCTCTGACCTGTCTTGCAGCCACAGTGTTCATATGACTAATGCAGTTCAGTTTCTGGTCAATGGTAACCCTCAGCAAGTTGGTTGTGAGGGATTCAGCGATGGTAATGCAATTAAATGTCAAGGGACAATATTAGATTCTCTTGTCAGAAATGGCCATCACCTGGCACTTGAGTGGCGTAAATGTTACTTGCTACTTATCAACCTAAAATGGATATTGTCGAGGTCTGGCCTCTTTCGAACACGATATCTTTCCAGTATCTGAAAAGATGTGAATGATGCTTAACATTACACAATCATTCATGAACATCCCCACATCTGACCTTATGGTGCAGGGAAAGTCACTAGGGAAGCAGCTGAAGTTGGCTGGGTTTAGCGCCTAGTATAACTTGATTCAACATCATGGATATGCACTACTGCAGCACAGCTGGAAACAGGCTGACTATCCTAAGGAATTAAGAATATGGATTGCACTAAATCCACATTTCCACCTACAACCAATAACTACTGACTCTCATATCAGTCAAGAACCTACCTAACTTTACCCTAGATGTATTCAATGACCTGGTCTCCACTAGTTCTCTTTCTCAGACTCCAAGGATTTGCGACCATGAGGAAAAAAAACCTTCTCATTTCAGTCTTAAACCCAGATTTTAAAACTGTGTAACCTAGTTCTATTCTCTCCCACAAAGGAAAACATTCTTTGAGCATTTAATGTGTCAAGTTCTTCAGAATTTTATATGTATCAAAAAGATCACCTTTTGTTCTTAACTTCACTGCGAGAGACGAATCTTGTTCAAACTTTCCTCAAGATAACATCTCCTCTCGTCTTGGGAAACAGACAAGTGAATTTTTGCCAAACTATTTGTAACACACTTATATCTTTTCAGTATTCCAGATATGGCCTCATCAATACTCTATGTAGCGAAATAACCCTACTTTAATATTCCATTCCTCTTGCAAAGGGCTTTGTTCAAAATCAAATACAGAAGAAACTTGGCAAGTCAGGTAGCATCTGTGGAGAGAGAAACAGTACTTACATTTCATTTGCAGTCTGATATGACTTCTTCAAAATATACTGGACTTGAAACATTAGTTCTGTTTCACCCTCCACAGGTGCTGCCAGACCTGCTGAGTTCCTCCAGCATTTTCTGTGTTTGTTTTAGATTCAGAATATACAGAATTTTGCTTTTAAGGACTACATTCCATTTGCCTTTCTCCAAATCACTTGCGTACCAATCCTGGGTAATTTATGTATCAGAACATTCAGATCCTTTTTGGCAGCTTGTATTCATCCAAATTAATCGTGGGAAATGCTAAAATGAACTGCCTCTCAAACATTAATAGATAGCATATTACAATTTCCTTAAATTAAAGGAAGTATACATTCTAAATACAATACCACACTGTGGTACCACAAACAGTCTGCACTCAACACCAATGCTATGGATCTTTTCCAACTATTTCACTACTTCTTTGAAATAATACACCATGAACAATTTATATTTAAAACAAATGGAATTATTCTTTGTGGCACACAATACACACAACTGAAATTTCCTTTAGACACTTCCAGGTAGCTGGATATTGGCCTTTTAAAAGGATATTAAATCTCTAGGAGCCCTGTGTTCAAGTGTAAGATGAGCTGCAAAGTCGTCCGTGACATGATTAGGATCTCCTCCAGGTAATGCTGCACAAATTGGACAAACCTGTAATACATTAAAAAGCAAATTTAATGATCATTTCTAATTGTGACAAAAATCTAAAAGTTCAAGCAAATGAGTCTGACTGAAAATTGGAAATGAGATACAAATAAAATCTTACTCTAAATATTTAGAAAGGAGTTGAACTCTTCCTTCAGAAGTAAATAAAAAGTGGGGAAATGATCAACTGTGTTTCAAACATATTCTATTTGTATTTTGGTTATTCTGAATCTGTAGATTTTCCACTTCCTCAAATAGTCCAGCCTTTTTCTTATGCAAACTTTATTTATATTGTAACAATGTTTTAGCTACTTCATACTTTGTTCTTACAGATGATGATGTTTATTATCATTTTGTTTCTACTTTCAGATCAACAATGTCCAGGCACAATATCTGATTTTCTCAATTACATTAAATAAACAAACATTAACAACTATTTGCATTCAAATAAAACAAAATGATTACATTTGGCTTTGCTAATGCATATTAATTGGAACCAATTAAGTTATTAATGGATATGCAAGTAACTGAGAATTATTGCAGCAAAACTGCCTATTTTCTACAAATAGTGGAAATTAAAACCTCTGGCACCGTGAAATGCAGTTTTTTTTTCGTGAAATGCAATGATCAAGAAATTAAATGCTTATAGGCAAGTCTGCCTCAAGCGATCAAGCCAGTAATTTGCAGGAAGGCGAAATTGTACCTCAACTTCTGTCAACATTGCAGTTCATTTGACCAATGTGATTGCCTTCAGATGCTCGCTGAGACTGTACTTTAACAGTGTGATGTTTGAGGTGAAGCACAGGGTGTAGTAATGAGAATGATCAGAACAAAGAGTTCTTCCCAAAACTAACTTCATTATTCTCTTTCAGATACTGACTGCATGTTCCTAGTTTAGTGAGTACAATACTGAGTCACACTTCACCCTAATGCCTGACGACAGTACACAGCAGTAGACTTTATTGCTGACCAGAGGAGAACAAAGATGTAAACACTTAAGAGCTTCTGAAGTTCAGAATGGGGTTGAAGGAAGCAAGAACACAAAAGAAAGTGGGAAACAGAAGATCGATAGTTGCCAGGATATTTTACAGACTCTACAAAGCTCAGTAATAATCATAACCTTGATCAGGAGGTGAACAACAGATAATTGAGTTTATAAAAAGTCTTTAATATATCCAGTAATGACAAGATTATAGTTTGATCTGCAGTCAAGTACAAATGTTACATTAGCTGACTCAAACAGGTACTCATTCTACAGTTGGGAGTCAGTACTGTCATGTTAGGAGAAAGAAATGACTGTGATTCCTACTCCTGGGCAGCATTAACATCCTGTATCGGAGGCTGATATCAGGCTGTAACATGCCCTGCTTCCCACTCACATGGTGACATCAAACCTCATTTGCATGGCTAATTAAATGAGGAGTTGAACATGTGGAATTGTACTGTACCTCCAGCAAGGAGTAAGATGCCCCAAGGAAATAGAGAAAATAGTTGAGAAATATGCATTACCTTGTTTTTCCTTCAAAGGCACAGGACAGGTTTTAAACAACAAATTTTAAAATAAATTTGCATAGCAATATCCTCCATAACATTCCAGTAAGCAAAGGTAGTTTTAGACAAAGATGTCTTCTCCCACTTTGGGAAAATGAGGAAAATGGTGATAATTGTGGATAACTTCCTGTCACACAATGGTCAAATCCCAGTGTTATCCAACACTGTAAACATAGCATTTTTTTACAATTAGGTTTACCATGTCCTCAAAAAGCGTACATCCTGTCAAACATTAAATCCTCCCAAAAGTAAAAACCCAATTATTTTAGTATAAATCTGAAAATTTGACCTTTTCTATATTTTTCTACAAAATTTAACTATTTAAATACAATTCGTCAAATGAACCAGCATTTTTTCAGCAAGAACTTGTTTGAATATTTTCTTTGCAAAAAAAGTTTAATTAAGTTTCTCTTTGCCAACATAAACGCTTAAGGTTAATTTCCTTAATAGGGGATAAAAGGCAGCTTTGCTTAGGTGAGCTTGGAAACACTAGAGGGCAGCATATTTGCCTGATAATTTTGTTTGCCATCACCCTGAAAGAAAATTCCACCAATGAGAGTTATCCAAATTGCAGCATGTGCTCTTATTTTCCTCAGCTAATGACAGCATTAAGCTTTTGGGAAAAAGTGATCCCATACCTTTCTATTATACAAGGAATTAAAATTAAAATACATTGGAAAATTACTTCTTGTATTAATCTATAGAGAGCTCAACTAAACTAGTAAACACATCTTTAAGATCTAAAATTATCCTCCCCTTTCAGATACAACCCTGCTTGTTCTAGGTTCCTCTGAGACAACTCACTACAAGACATTATTAGCAATACTCTGCCCTCAACAAAGGGTATTTACTGCATTAACTTTATGATTACTGAAGGCTTACACAAACTCTTCAACTTCAATGCAGCTATCCTCATTTTGAGCAATATACATTAAAGAACAAGACAACCGCTAGGATCCAGAGGGACCCTACAGTAAGCTGTGCCTGTCCAAATTCTCTTAATCTGCTGGTAGCAGCATTCAAAAGGATAGTGACACATTGATTTAAATGAATCACCTATCTGGTTTATCTGTGAAACTCTGCATAAAAAGTATGCACAAAATAGTCAATATTTGGAACCAGTATATCCTCCAACAATTCATATGCCCTTCCCCAAAGGGAAATGACCAAAGTAAAATTGTGCTTATATACATGAAACAAAAGTCAGAGGCAGCTAACAGAACAAAACAAAAATCGCATGGGATGCCAACACAAAAGATGTATACTATGGAAGCTGGAAATCTGAAATCAGCCTATTTTTCGTAATCAACCTGTTCAGAGATGTAATTACACACCTCTGGAGCAGGTGGAACTTGAACCTGGGTCTCTCAGCCCAGGGGTAGGGATACTATCATTTGGCCACAACAGCCCCTGGAAATCTGAAATCAAAACAGAAGATGAAAATATTCAATAGGTGTGGAAATTTCTTTGGACAGAAATAGTATTAACATTTCAAAGGTCAAAGATGAGTTCTGATTAAGGATCATCATTGACTCAAAATATTATCTTAGTTTCTCTCCACAGATGCTGTCAGATCGGTTTATTTCCAGCATTTTCAGGTTTTAAAAGTTAAATGGGATTATTGGTACTTAAGTCCTCAATGCCCCAAGAAACTAGAGGGAGTTTTGTCAGGCATTGATAGTTATCATGAGGGAATCACTGGACAATGGGAAGGTACAAATAGAAAACAGGAAACAAGTTTAGATGGTGAATTCATTCAAAACCTAGGGCAAAGAGATGAGCAACAACAGAATTGCTAGTTTTACTTCTGTTCTATGTAAAGTAACAGAATTAACAAGGCATACATATGATGACTACCTGTGTAATAGGCATTCAGAAAACAAAAAAAAACATACGTTCAGGTGGAGTCACTGCAATTCTTTGAGGAAATGGCAATTCTATGAAACAGGAAACCCAACAGCCACATTTCCTCAACTTCTTACCTCCCCCAACCCCAACAAGATCGGGTGTATCCAGACTTCCAATTGGGCTATGACAAAAATCTAAATTACAGAATATCGGTCAAACTCAAACTGTTAGGAAGTCCAAGTAATGGAATGGATGAAAAAATAGCTGTTAGTGGAGTTATGCTGTGGGTGGGTAACAGTGCTGAATGTAGTGTCCCAGGATTTATGGGTTACACTATTACAGCTTTTGATTTACAAGAATAACCTTAATATAGAAATGTATGTATAAGTTTGACAAAGTCAGGCAGTGGAATTATGGAAAATGAATAATAAATTAGTTATCTAATTTAAGAACATGAACCTAACCAATATGCATACTCTCTGAATGATGGTGATATATCTAAGGATGAATTTGAAGTAATCTAGGAGGTCTTAGCAGACTCTGAACAACCTTTGCAGAATAATAATCAATAAAGCCAACAAAAGGTTGAAAGGAAAAGCTGGAGGCGAAACGTACGGCACTCTGATCAGACCACATGTTGAAAAATACATTTTGTTCTGTTTGCCAAGATATAAAGGAAACATTCAATTTGTACAAAGGAAAATGAGGCTGAACTCTCCTGTCAAACTCTGATGTGAGAATGATGGGGAAAACTGTAGGTTTACATCCAGAAAAGGAGTTTTTTAAGATCACCTGATAGAAGTACACAAGAGGGTACAGAAAATATAAACGTAGTTCTCATGTCTGCAATGTTTTCCACAGTGATGAAAGCATGGGATAAACCTTCATGAATGTCGTAGGCCAAAACTGGATATTGAAATAAAATACTTGGTTTTCAGTGAATGAACAAAAATTGGTTATAGAGTTTTCCTTATTTGTAACAAGGTCGCAATCATTCAGTTCCCTCTTCACCACATTTTCAGTCAATGCACTTCCCTCCAACATAAGGTCAGAATTGGAAATGTTCACTGATGATTGCACAATGTTCAGCACTTTTTCCAACTCCTCCAGATACTGAAGCAGTCCATGACCAAATACAGTAATACCTGGATAACATACAGGTTTGAGCTGACAAGTGGCAAGTAACTTTTGTGCTACACAATTGCCAATCAATGGCCATCTCCAATAAGGGCCAACCTAACCATCACCCCTTGACCTTCAATGGCGTTACCATCACCGAATTCCCCACTATCAACATCCTGGGAGTCACCATTGACCAAAAACTCAACTGGACTCGCCAGTGGCTACAAGAGCAGGTCAGAGGCTAGGAATACTGCAGCGAGTAACTTACCCCCTAGACTTCCAAAAATCTGTCCACTATCTACAAGGCACAAGTCAGGAGTGCAATGGAACACTCCCCATTTACCTGGATGAATGCAGCTCCAACAATACTCAAGAAGTTTGGCACCATCCAAGACAAAACAGCCCGCTTGATTGACACGATATCCACAAGCATCCACTCCTCTACCACCGACGCTCAGTAGCAGTACCTACTATCTACAA